GAGAGATCATTGGCAATAGGTCGTGTATTTTTCTATTTTGGGCAAGTATGACAGGTGTTCTTATAACTTGCTTCAACAGAGAGGTAATAGTGTACCAGAAATAGTATTCTTACGTTTGCATTCACTGTGATCATCAAAAATATATCCATCTTTACACACGCAATTACCATTCAGACATATCGCATTATTTGGACATTCTTTTTCTTTTTCACAAGCTAAACAACATCAAAGATTTATAAGTTTTGGTAGAAGTTAATTGATAAGGATTACTTTCAACACATAAAGCTTATGTCATTATATCTAACTTTATTTGTCTGTATAAACATGTATGGACTTATCTTCTAAACTTCTTGTGTTGACAAAATTCAAAAAAGTTTGCAACATGGCAGGTACATTTCTCACGTTTACATTGAGAATCAAGTTATTTCTGCTAGCCATTCATGGGAATGTAATCTATTGAGTTAATGTCTGTAATACTGCATATAACGCATAGCATCTATGCATGAATTTAAATTTACTCTCTCATATAGGTCATCAACAAAAAACATGTCAAAGTATTTTGAGCACATAAAGCGCTCTTGATCAGATTAGCAATCATTAGGGTAGAAAACCGAGATGTTTCATAAAAAATGTTTCCATGCACACACGAACAATTACAAATGAAACTTGTCATTTGAAAACTTGACAGGGAAGTAAAACGTTCTCTCCACTTTAGCCTGCGAACAGGCTCACTGGGAGAAAGGTGAGCCTGCACGGAACCATGCGTTTTATTCATTCATCCCCTTTTCGCATCTGCTAAACGCTAACCAATCAGCGTCGACTGCGATAAATAAACTATCAACTGTCAAATTGACGCAAGGCGTGTACATTGTGCAACATGAACAATAATAATACAAAGCATTAGCGGGCCGCACAATATATTACTCGGAAAAATATAGAATTCTTCAAATATTAAATAGATATCAATACACATACAAATATAAAGCCGAATAAACTACCATGGGCTTTGAATGTACAGTAATACTTGTACTATGTGCGACTGAAAGAACAATGTTCTGAATATTTTGAAGCTATTACTAAAATACGGTCAGATAGATTGGGATTTGGAATACCGAATACGTTTAAAATTTTACTAACTGTGGTCTAAATAAATGATAAATGAGCATGTATTTATTAATTTCTTCGAAATCACGAGTGTGCCTATATTGGAAGCCGTATCGACGACGAAATTGTCAGCAGTTAATATACAGTAAACAGTACAACGTTTAATGTATGATATATATTTATCTAAATGACATGCCAGCGAGGATCGACAATATAATTATTCGTACATATTTGGGTATCTTTTGTATGCCTTCGCTTGCTGACTTGCTCACTAATGAGAATAATCCGTGAAGCCACGACGCCCTCAAAATGTACTATACTATGGTCTGATGTCAATCCGAAGACGAAGTTCAGAATACTGTTATAGTTTCGTATATTGGATTTAAGCGATAGATTCAAGTCATTTATGATAGACTTTTTTGCTGTGATGCTTTGCTATTGCTTCTGGTTTCCATTTCTAGTTTTATTTGTTCGATAGTCCTATAATATATAATATTAAAATGAATAAAGTTCAAATTCTTCAAAATGCTGTTGTTGACATTTGCTATTTTTAGTAATTTTGTCAACGAGTGTAAGCCAATCAGAAGCCTGCGTTTCTATACGAACGCCACTACCAAAAAAACCTATCATCCGTGCAGGCCCTCTATTCTTCGCGCCGCCCGCAACCCAGGGCCTGTTCGCAGGCTATCTCCACTTCAGTTAGCCTGCGAGCAGGCTCTCCCTGCTCGCATGGCTACACTTCAGTAAGCTTTGGTAGCCGGCTTATATTTTCAGTTTGAACTTATTATCATGTGAGAAACTTACATGTTTTTACAGTCACAGCCTCTCCCCATTCTCCAAGAGCCTTTCCATCGTCTTCAAATGCCTTAACAGCTACAGTGTATTCAGTATATGGTTGCAAACCATCCAGAACAGCATTGTTAATTTCCCCAGCAACTTTTGTCACTTTGTCAGTACAATTAGTGTATGGCTCAGAAGTGAATTTGATATAACTAACCTTATAATGGTTTATGCTGGCACTTACGTGATTCCAGAAAACCTTCAACGATCTGCTCGTTCGTTCTGTTTTGTAAATTTCTGGACCAGCTAAAATGAGGCGAGTAAAATAACATTCAATGCTTTGGAAAAACGCACCCGAAAGTTTAGCAGTATTTCATCATAGACAGCAATTGCATTTCAGAGCATCTTATTTACAAGAAAACTAGTGGATGAAATGAGATGCGGATAGAAAACTTCCTACGGAAAATAATCCGATACTAGTGGGATTGTCCTCCTAATTTATATTTGTATATCGATCTTCATTGGTAGTTAGTAGTTTAATAGTTTAATCGAATTTCCAAATTTAAGCTATTTAAGCCGAATATTGCCCGACTGGCTTTGTTTGCCCAACAAACTGCCGCCCCCCTCGCCCCCCCCCCTCCCCCGCCCGGTACGCCCATGATTAAATACTTAAATATACCTAGGATAATTTTTAATAAAACTATTAACACAATTAATACAATTTATAAACATATATTTATATTACTGGAATACGTTATTCTTTTATTTTTCGTCCATTTGTATCTACAAGAGTATATTAATAATTAAAAAATATATATATCGGAGCAATATAAGGCTTTAGAGATCTAAAAAACTAAACTAAGCTTTTGAATTAAAATATTTAGCTGTTAATCAATTAACTGATGAAATCATTTAGCCGCAGTCAAATACTTGAAATAATAAAACAAGGCAATTTTTGCCTGAGAGAATTTTCCAAAAGTGAAATTAATACCGATTCGCCTCTTGCGCATTACTGTACTTAGCCTACCTATGCATATTTCACTCTCCGACTTCTCTGTAAAGACATCTCTACACACGCAATTGCAATGCAGACATTTCAACTTCTGAATGTCGCCGCATTCTTCGTCTGTTACACAACCCTTAACTGAAAGAAATAAAATTCCATAATAGCTCAGGGGTATAGGTATTTTTCGAGTTAAGCCCTTCGAGTTAAGCCCTTTTGAGTTAAGCCCACTGAGCTGTATAATAACTGGAGGACCTGCTCCTATACTTTGTTCAGTCAACGAAGTGTCGCCAAAAAAATGGCGGATTTTGATGAAAAATGACGCCATTTCCATGACTACTGGTCCCTAAATTCATGGTAATTGCCACTGAACAAGGCTCAATTATGAGCCCGCCACAGTTTTCACTCCCCCCTGGTTTTTATAAAAATATTTCGGCTTTTTGCAATTTGGCGAATTTGCAGTGAATCCTTGTTGTTTTGATATTTTCGACATATTTTTTCGCCTGTTGACAATTTGTTCAAAGATGTGGAAGCTGTACACGTTAATTCTCGTCTGTGGAGCGTGAAAGACAACAAACAACTATTAAAACCTCGCGAAATGTGGGCAAAAACGATACTTCAAGCCAGAACAAACATCCGTATTTATGCACCTATCAATGTTAATCCCGAGGGAGGGGGGGGGGGTCGGGCAAGGGGTGGGGATTTGACATTTTTACGAAAGAAAATGTCAAATGCCACTCCCTCGGGAGAAAATTCCTGGTCAAAATTTCCCACCCCCGGGAAGAAATTGTATTCCTGAAGTATTTGGTTTCTAGGGAAATTACACAGATACATTTGGCGGTATAACTTAAAAGTAAAACAAATATAAAGAACGTTTCAAAATAACTTAAAATACTCATTGATAATTCATATACCTTGTGGCAAATCATGTTAGCCATATTATGTCACGTGAAGTGAGTTTGTTATATCTGATAAAACATTAGCCTGTGTTCCAGTCCGCTACAGCACGGTGTAGTGTCTGGAACACAGGCTAATAAAACACAGTATTCTTATATAATTGTCAGTATTCTTATAATAATTGTTCGCCCTAATTAATATTCCCTTGTAGTAGTATTTTATGTTGTGCGCCTCGCGTTTTATATCTAATAAAACACACTCCTACTCGTGTTTTAAATTACTCATAATGTGAACTTTTAACATATAAGTATAAATCGGTATTAATATAATTATAAAATGGCTTGTAAGTGTTTATTCCTTGTCCAGAAATCTCCATATTTCTTGTAAAAACAATGCGCGAGACAGCGAGCGATGAACTAGTGCCCAGTCTTCAGTTTGTTCCTGACTCTTCCTTAGTCCCTCGTTACATTTTAGTGCGGGAGAATATGCCCGTTTGCGGGTTAGGCGTTGACAACTACAAAGCGAGTGGGGACGAGTGGGGACGAGTCAGAGTTTGTTCTAAAATTGGCTCAGGTTTCTTCAGTATATCGTCTGAGATCAGTGTTAATCTGTCAAAAATCCCCACCCTCGGGCCACTTAGAAAAAAGTGTCAGTCCAAATCCCGACCCATGGGACCACCTGGTTGATCAAATCCCCACCCTTTGCCCGACCCCCCTCCCCTCGGGGTTAACATTGATAGGTGCATTATCAGACTATAAACAGGTATTTATACATTTTTCAAAATTTACATTACTATTTTAAATATTTCATGAAAAAATGTTGGGAATAAATGGTAGAATGTAAGAAAATAAGCCACGAGTATTTATAATGTGGTTGTAGACGAATCTTTTAATTTTAAAATATAATAATTTCATCCCTCAATCCCAAGGAATTAATGGTTGTACATGTATATGAATTTGACAAATATTTGAGTTGACATGAAACTATGATGTGCTAGTATATTAAAGAGGGAAGTAAGGTTTTATAGATTTAGCCAAGACCGGGTTTTTCATGCATGAGCTCAGAACTGGTGCTGGAAAAAGCTCAGCTGATCTGAAAATGCATGTTTTGCCCAAGTTTGCATGTATGTTGTGTGCTCTCTGATAGTTTGTTGCATGTATCTTTAAAAGGCCATGCATTAACTTGTTTGCCCCATCCCTATAAGTATTGGGTTAATTGACTCAACTGCTGGCATATTTCTGGTGTTCCTGAGGTAGGGGCTAATGTGACAGCTAGCCCTAGGCCAGTAAGCAAGGTCTCACTCACTGTGTGGTTATTTTTATAGTGGAAATTCCTTTCAAATTGTATGGACAACCTGACTGGCTCAGTTTTCAGATCTCACCTGAAGAAGGCAAGCTCTCAGTTACACTGGGAAGATATTTTATGGATATAAACACTAACTGGACTGACCTGGTCAAAGTAAAGTCAATACAACATTGGTCATGGAAATATTGTCAAAACAATAGACTGAATTGTGTCGGCAAGGAAATTAATCTGGAAATAATAAATAGTTCTGCCAACCAGGCCAGCCTGGCTTCCATATTGATAGCCCCTATGGCTATAATCTATTCTTGCTTATTGCAGAATGCTCCCACAATGAGTTCATGCCACTGTTGTTAGTGAACCTCCAAGAAACATGTATTAATTGTTTCAAAATTAATTAAAGACAAAAATTTGCTTGATTTTGTATATTATTTATTTTAATTCAACTTGCATGGTTAAAGAATAATTATCCAATTGGGACGTTCCAGAAAAGATCCACACTCCCCCCACCGAGGAAATTTCTGACGTCCGAAGGGGGAGGGGAGAAAAAATTGTTTCTGATAATAGTAAATGTACGTAATTTCCTCTGTGGGGGTGGTATGGATGTTTTCTGGAATATGACCCATTAGCAGTAAATAATATTAAAACCTAACTGTACAATCAAGTTACATGTAATACTTAACAGTATTATTAAAAAATTAAAACTAGAGCTCATTGGTTATTCTTTGGCTGTTTGTAGTACATACATATAAATAACACATTCCCACAAAATTATAGAGAAAAGTAATTGTTAGTTCTGGCATGCAGTTAAGTCTGGCAAGAGCTAGTGCACCACTTAACTCTT